TGAGTTTCCATCTTTGGCAGTACTCATACAGTCTTCTAAGGTCTCCATTTAGTCTTTGGGCTCCACTTTCCACATTTTCATGTCTCTGCCATATTGCTAGGTCATCAGCGTACAAGGCTTTTTCGGCCTTGATTTGTTCTGGCAAGTCATTGATAAAGATAAGAAACAGTGAACAGCTCAATGATGAGCCTTGTGGCAAGCCCTCCTCCAAGACTTCTTTAGAAGAGATTGCTTTGTGCATCTTAGTCTGGATTTGTTCTATCTATCAGAAAGTATTTCACCCAGTTACACAATCTGCCATGTATACCTATGCTCATCATCTTTATCAGGAGACCTTTTCTCCATACTTTGTCATAGGCCTACTGGGTGTCGACAAAAACGGACCCTGTGTGTATCTTATTCTGGAAGCCATCATATATTCTTTGTGTCAGTCTGAACAGCTGGTCTTCTGTACAGCTGTTGGTTCTGAAGCCTGCCTGTTCATGGCATGGAACACCAGAACTCTCTAGGAACCAATACAAGCGCCTGTTTATCATTCTTTCTGCAACTTTGCCAAAGCATGATGTTAAGGATATCGGGCGATAGCTTTTGGGGTCGTCTGGAGGCTTTTTGGTTTTAAGAATGGGGACGTTATATCCATTCTTCCACGCCTTTGGAAGTTTGCTTGATCTCCATGTCTTATTATTAGGCCTGAGAACCACTTCTCTCCCAGACCGGCCAAGATGTAGCAGCATTTCGTTTTGGATCTTATATGGACCTGGGGATTTTCTAGGTTTTAATTTCTTCAAGGCTTGTTCTATTTCATCCATGCTAAATTCATCTTCAGTCCGAATTGTCTGCCCGTGTCCCTCTGCCATCTGCCAAAAAAAAAGTCTAACATGTGTCCGATAAACCAACCGTAAGCTTCCCACTTGGTCGTCCAGGTATGCTGACTGCTATAATTATGCTACCGCAGCGACTATGTAAACTCACTTCGAACTCACAGTACCTTTTGCACAGTCAACAATTTCGACTTGTCCTAGTCTGAGAACATCCGGTAATACGTGCAGCAGGAGAAAATCAACCCTGAGCTCCATAAACTCAGGTGGACCCACTCTCTGAAAATGTCTAGGAGCTCGTAAGCCGAAACATTTGTCGACGAGAGATTACTTCTACCGATGATTGGTTGACTCTTGCTGTACATGCTCCCCTGTGGAGTTTCTTCTTATTGTGATTCTTGGGAACTATAAAGCCTCACTGTGGCTTTTCTGGTCTACTAGTTAGGACTGTGGGAGCCGTCGTAGTGAACCGTGGCTAGACGAGTGCTTGCGGATTAGAAGATCGTGGGTTCAAATCCCAACTTTTTACCAAAACGTCAGAAGGCGGAGAAAAGGGTCCTTTACTTTTACTTTCATTATGACTGTTCGTGTCTCAGTGGATATGAAAGAGGCATTGAGCTCTGAAGGTCGTGGGTTCGTTCATAGACTGCTTCGTGAGGTTCACAGTTACAATTTTTATAGAGACCCCTGGGGAATGTCACAGTAGCTACGGAGTTTGTACTTTTGTAACCTTCTCGGATAGCAGTCATTCGTTCTGATGGGTGAGACCGAGACGTAAATGATAAAACATAAGGAAGAAAAGTCGACCTTCTTGACTTAAAATTTGTAATTCTGCTTCTTCTTCTTGTTTACCGGCTGTAAACTCCGGCGGAAAATCGTGGATGTTCGTCCACCTACGGATTTTAGTCTTGTTCCAGAAGCTGAGTGTTGCGTGCACATCCGTCTCAGAGATCTGGTTTATTTGTTTGCAAACTTTTCTTTCCTTGCTTCTCAGGCATATGTACACCGACCTCGAAGGATGTCCCAGTTAATCGACTGCTACGTCATGCTTATTGTGGCGGTAGTAGGTCTATTTTAGCAAAACTAGAGCTGCTAAAGCTAGAGCTCAGGAGAATTACATAGAAGCCAACAAGGAATTTAGGAGGCATATAAGGGCAGATAAAGTGAAATATCTAATTGATCTAGCACAAGAAGCGGAGACAGCAGCAGCAATAGGAAACCTCAGAGAACTTTACAGTAACACAAGAAAATTAGTTGGTAAATATAGTCAGCCAACTGGATCAATCAAAAATAGTCAAGGAAAGGTACTTACTAACACTAAAGATCAAATGGACAGATGGGTTGAATATTTTGAAATGCTTCTAAATAGACCAGGCCCAGAGGTTCCCCCAGATATCCAGCCTTTAGAAATGGAACTGGATATCAACTGTGAGATACCATCCAAAGAGGAAATTAGAAAAGCTGTAAATCTTCTTAAGGAAGGAAAGGCGTCAGGCCCAGATGGTATCCCAGCTGAAGCCCATCCAGGACCAACATAAACACATCAACAGAATTGCTACATAGATTATTTAGTAAAGTCTGGGAGACCGAAGAAATACCAGCAGACTGGAGAGAAGGATATCTTGTGAAACTGTCCAAAAAAAGGTGATCTACAGGAGTGTGAAAACTATAGAGGAATTATGTTGCTGTCAGTTCCTGGAAAAATATTAAGTAGAATTATTTTGGAAAGATTAAAAGATGCTATTGATAAAATGCTAAGAGATGAGCAGGCAGGTTTTTTGGCCATACAGATCCTGTACTGATCAGATAGCCACATTACGTATTATAATAGAGCAAAGCATTGAACTGAACTCACCACTTTACATTGGATTTATAGACTATGAAAAAGCATTTGACAACATTGATAGGGAATCTCTCTGGAAATTGATGGGGCACTATGGAATCCCACAGAAAATTATCAAATTAGTAAAGGCAACATATAAAGACATGAAATTTCGAGTTCTTCATGAGGGAAAGCTAACAGATGCATTTGAAATAAAAACAGGTGTGCGACAGGGATGTCTTTTGTCGCCTCTCTTATTTTTACTGGTTATAGACTGACTGGACTATGAAAACAGTAACTGCTAACACCAAGAATGGAATTCAGTGGACCCCTACAAAACAGCTTGATGATCTGGACTTAGCTGATGATATTGCCCTTCTGTCCCATTCACGGAATCAGATACAAGATAAATTAAATATACTTAATGCGAGATCACAGCAGCTTGGTCTGAAAATCCATACAGGAAAGACAAAGATAATGAGAATAAATCAGGCAAATAGTAATGTGGTTTCTCTTAATGGCACCTAACTCCAAGACGTGGAGTCGTACACCTATTTAGGCAGTAATGTAGATAAAGTTGGAGGAACTGATAGAGATATTAAAATAAGAATACAAAAGGCAAGAGGGGTTTTCATAGCACTAGGGTATTTGTGGAGGTCAAAAGAAATTAAAAGAAATACTAAACTAAATAGTTTTAATTCTAATGTCAAACCAGTACTATTGTATGGGGCGGAAACATGGAGAACAACCAAGGCAATTACTAATAAATTACAGACATTCATTAACTGGTGCCAGCGCAAAATAGAGGGAATAAAATGGTATGACAGAATAACTAATGTAGAGCTTTGGGAGAGAACTAAACAGGCTCCAGTGGATAAGGAGGTGAGGAAAAGACGCTGGCGTTGGATCGGGCACACACTGAGAAAATAGGAGAGCAGCATAACTAGAATTTCTTTGCATTGGAACCCACAGGGGCATAGGAATAAAGGAAGGCCAAAAAACACATGGAGAAGAGAGCTGGAGAACGAGATTAGAAAGATTGGGAGGACATGGGGAGAGCTCCATGTAATGGCGAAGGATAGAACGACTTGACGTGAGTTGGTTGAGGGCCTATGCTCCATTGGGGGATAGAAAGGCAGAAGAAGAAGAAAGTAGGTCTATTGTTGTTTTCCCCACAATGGGACTCTGGAACCCATACGGGGAAAATATTTAATTTAATACTTAGCAATATCTAGTGGCAGTGCACCGACGCATACTTGTTGCTATAGTTAGAACCATCGTGGTGCAATAGGTTCGAATCCCAGTGGCGTGGCTATAGATTTGCACTTCTGTGTAGTATAGTGTGTTCGATAATGTATATTTTATTATTCTGTACTTATTAATACAGGGGGGGGGGGGGATCCATGACCATATTTTAGCTTGTACTCTGGCCTAACGACCAGTTCGTTATATATTCCAATCAGCGTCAAGATGGTAGTCTCTTTTAATTGGCCTGGCTGGGCTTCTGTGTCGTCCTATCTTCTTCTTCTTTGCGTTCAGTTTCGTATGCTCAGATCAGATCATCAGGTGGGTTGCCTCTATGAACTCGCATATCAGTAGCAGGTCCTAGCTGAAACATGGTACCAGGAAATGATAGTGGTTTCCAACTGGAACTCACCTCCCCCACTCCACCTTTTAAATGTTTGATAAGTAAAAGAAAAGTTCCCTTTTCACTCCTTTCGGCGCATCGGGCATATGGGCAGAGCGTCCCATATTTTTACAGACCATCAGCACTCTGTGGGTAATGTGGTCAGCATTACGCCGGCTGTCTTTACTTTCCCAGGACAGCCCATCCTGGTACCCATTTTAGGCTGGGTCGACCTGCGACGTCCCATACCACGACAAAAATCCACGCAGCCTGCAGTGGGTTTCGATCGCGGTATGCTGGCTTACGAGTCGGACTCGCAACGCCTTAGCCACGGACGCCGCTTAAATGTTTGATACTGACCCCATACTTCTTAATGATCATAACAAAATAAAATAATCAAAGCAGTGTTTCCCCGTTGTCAATTTGAACAAATAAAACACAAACAAAAGACTGCAACATTTATTGCCTGGCATATATCGCTGCATCTTACCAGGTGCATACTACAGTAACAGGTTTTTTTTTTTTCAATGAATCAAATCTATGAATCCTTCACATTAAAACACATTCAACGGTAGCTGCCTTTTTCACCTTAGCAAACGCAAGTTCACAGGTTTTTTTCCCCCCTGCAAATTTATGGAATGAACGGTTTAGTATCGAGGCTTCCATATAGCGGAACACTGTGCGGTTGTTTGAGATATGATAATTTCATAGTTATGGATTTGATGGATCTTACTTGTTATAGAGAACCATGTCAGGAAGCCATATCTTGTGGCATGGAATCCGCAGTTTGGTGATGTTATTGAACTCCGGTGGGTCCCAGACTAAAAATTCGTCTTGCCATTCCTGTAAAGGAAATATAAACCAAAGTATAAACAATAAAAAAGTGTTTGCTCAAACATGAAACTTTGAGTTGCAGTTGTAGTGGATAGAAAGCCGGTCAGACTGACTGACTGAGAGACCACCTGACTAACTAATCCCCAGTAAGTAAGTACCGCTTTGCTGAATCTGGTCTTACTGAAGTGTCAGCTAATTTTCCAAAACCACGAACCACATCCTCAATCAAGCATTTGATATCGGCTTCGCAATCTTTATATATTTTTCACATCTAATTTCACAGACTCCCAAAGGCGTTAATCATTGAGAGATTGTGAAATGGGGTGAGTTTCTATTTCTTCAATTCAATACTGTCCAGTTGAAGTCGGCATTGTAATAGCGGTAGACTCGACGAGTAATCACCATTTATGCGGCAAGTTTGGGGGGAATTTATTGGCACAAGTTTGGAGTGAGCATTCACGACTCGGGGAGTTTTCTTGACTAAAGCGTTTGCTATTGGTGAAGTAGGAGAATCGATTTCAAGACCTATGGGTCTCTTTCGCTTTCTTTCTCTCTGTGTCCCCACAACCCCCTCCCCTTTTTCTATCTGTCGGTCCTCTCTCTCTCTCTCTCTCTCTCTCTCTCTGTATGTGTGTGGGTGTGTGTGTGTGTGTGTGTCTTTCTGTGTGTGTGTGTGTGTGTGTGTGTGTGTGTGTGTGTGTGTGTGTCAGATACAAAGAAAACATTGAATTGGGATGGAAAAGGCAGGCAGGATTGGGGATGGAGGCGATCAGCCTCTTTGTAAATTATCTAGAAGCATTACCGCTCAAATGGGCTCACGTTTTAAATTTGCAGCAATAACAATAATTTCTGTTAATATATGTTGAATGACTTTTTAAAAAACGCAATAAATACACAATTATTTGAGATGTGTAAAGAAATACTTAGAGAACACATATACATAGTTATAAAGGAGGCGATTGGCGGAGTACTTTGTATCCAATGCAAATTGTCTTAAAGGTGAGGGTTCATCTCAACCTTTAAAAAATATATTTTTGTGGGTGGAAAGGGGGGAGGGGGGACTAAGCTGATGTAAGTAAGCCCTCAAGAAGGTCCCGTCTCTCTCATGTCTGTATAAGAAAAGTACAAGTAAAGGACCCTTTTCCACGCCTTTAGTTGTATAGGGCATATAGGGCTAGACCTATATTTTATAGACTAATCGGCACTAGATGGGTGATGTGATCAGCATCACGCCACATGTCTCTATACATGTACGTTAGTCGTTGCTTACACTATTCTATGAGCATTTTAATCAGTCGTTTACACGATTTTGTGAGTATTTTAACGAGTCGTTGTTTTAAACTATTTAATGACAATTTTAGCTTCGTTAGCGACGTTACCGCCATTATGGAATATCCGAATGTCGTTCTCATTACGGTCCTCGCGAATGGGCCTCGGGCATGTCTCAATCCCCCTGCCTTGTGTATTATCATGCCAAATATGTATTCCATATCATATATGTCTGCCTGTTTGCCTACTTATCTGTCTGTCTTTGCTTGCCATGTCTATGTGTCCGTCCATCTGTTTGTATCTATAACAGGAGTTTCAAGGAAAGACGAAATCATGAAATCAGACGAATGCTAGGAATAAAGCCAGTCTTACAGGTCATCAAAGAACAACAAATGAAGTGGTTTGGACACCTAACAAGAATGCCCTGGTACTATCCGCCACAGCGAGCCACACTAAAACGTTACAACGGGTATAGAGCGAGTGGAATACCTCGGAAAATATGGAGTGATGGCATTAAGAACAGCCTTACAGAAATGAACATCAGTCTTAATAGTGCTCTGGACAGAGCCCACCAACGAACATTACATCTCCCCCCGACACTTCGATGAGAAACGAGGTGGAAGAGAAGAAGAAGAAGAAAAAATTAATCGGTCAGTATAAATTGTTGCAATTTGGTGTGCAAGTTGATAATAAGCAATGCATCATGGGAAAACATAATGTACACAAACATCTAACTGTTTCTTTGCCTCATTTGCGGTATATGAAAAAAAAAACCAGATACATCTTTAAAGCCTACGGTTATCACGTTTACAGTTGTGGAGTGACGCTAACTTTGCGAGACATCAACTTGTAAATTTTTTAGAGGTAATTTGTCAGAGAAATCAAGCAAGCACTTGTTTGTATAGTATAGTGAACTGGATACGTCATGTACTGTCATAATAATCTCATTTACTCAACTAGTTCATAGGCGTTTCACTCTCATGTGGTAAATCTTCTACTTAGTCAGACGTGGTTTATATAAACATAATATTTCATTGTTTGCCGAATAGACTTTTAAAAAAATCGCCCAACATCACCGCTCGTGTGAAATAATTTTCAAAACAATTTCAATGCTTGCTATTTGAAGTAGGGCTGTACCGAATAGTGGTTTTCACTATTCGGCCGAATACGAATACGAATAGTGTATCATCATCATCAGGTGCCTTGCCGACTGGTGTGGCGATTTTGCCTCGCCACAATCTGCGATCTCCTGCAGCATGTATCAGTTTGTGTGCTGACACACCTCCATGACATGCAACGACTGTCAAGAATCTTCTCTCGTTGTCTTTTTCTGTCTCTCCTTCCACAAATCTTTCCAGTGGTCACCACATGTTCCATTTTCACTCTTTCTATATGATGACTGTCTTCTTCTGATGTCTGCGATTAGTTGTCTTCGGGCTCCCGCCTCTTTCAAAACCTAGTGGTTGCTTTTTTTAAGCTGTCCAAGGTATTTTAAGCATTGTTCTGTAAAACCACATCTCTGAGGCCTCAAAAATTTGTTTGGCCTGGCTACCGATTGTTCAGGACTCATAGCCATATGTTAAAACTGGATGTATGTAGCAAGCAAGACAACGATATATTGCACATGATGTTCTTTTTTTTTAAATATAAAATGCATTTTTAGCCTGTCCTATTTTGTTTTTTATTTTAATAATGCATCTTTCATCTAATATTATCCATGTGCCAAATTCGCATTTAAATCATTTTTCGTTCAGGCGTTCGTTCAATGTAATTTAAATGCACTTTCATATTCTCGTTTGCAATATCTTCAATTTGATTTGGGAAAAGACACACCGAAAGAACAAAAAAATGCATGCTTTCTCTTTGTCTCTCTCTCTCTCTCTCTCTCTCTCTCTCTCTCTCTCTCACACACACACACACACACACACACACACACACACAGATACACTTTCAAGTTTCTTCATGCCTTCTTTAACACAACAGTAGCGATGCCTAAATCTTTCGTAGCGGGAAAAACGGCGACCCGTTTGCGTGGTAACAGCGCCTGGCTCCGAGGCATTACAGCAGAGGTTCTAAAACTGGGTGCGTATGACAGGGGTGCCGCGGCGAAAATCAAGAAAAGTCGGCTATAAATTGTGACATTATTAATGAGAGAGTTATTTTAGTCCATCGCAGTGTATGCAGAAATCACTATTTGTATTCGGCCCGGCCGCCACTATTCGGCCGAATACCGAATAGCTAGTAGGTCCACTATTCGGCCCCGAAGCGAATACGAAGCGAATATTCGGTACAGCCCTAATTTGAAGTAAATGACTTTTATTAATCACGATATATCAAAAGACATTTTGGGTTACACAATTTATAATCCGCTAAAGATCAAAGAAATTCGCCGCTTCAGGAAGCAGCACCTGTGCAATTGTAAATTATTAAATCAAAAGGACACTGGTAATGTAGGACCAGGTAAACAAATTCTTGTTGATTTGTACAAAAAGCTCTCGAGATATTTATTAAAGTCTTAGGGCACGACCTTTCGAACATACTATAGTTACTTAGCTAATCGTACGTCTGCTCCATTGCATATCTGTCTTTCTATCAGGACGTCTGTGTGTTGCCACATTTCTAGGTTTGTGTCTGCCTCATTGACTATGTGCCTTTTGTATCTGTGTGCCTGTGTGTTGCTAGCTGAATTATAATCTCTTACTGTGATTGTCCAGTACTGACGATGTCTGACCATGTCTGTGTACTGGCATTATGGAAGTGTGTTGAACATCGTTGTTTCTTAGATGTATGTCTCTCCCTTTTTTTAGCCTTCTCCTTCTTCTTCTCATCCTCCTTCATCATACTCCTCCCCTACCTCCCCCTTCTACTAATCGTTCTTCTTCTTGACTTTATTCTTTTTGCAAACTAATGTTGTTATAATCCTACTTGAACAGTTAATGAATTCTTCTTTTTTGCTATTACAGAAATGTAAAGAATCTAAGGTAGTAAATTATTGCTAATATATCCTTTAAATACACTAATATTGTAGAAAATACTTAGTTTAAACCTACTAACACTGGGGATGTTTCAGCAGATTGCATAAGTTATGTTAAACTGAATGTAGAAGTTGGAAGCTAATCACGTCTAAACATCTATTTCTCATATTTATAGCAAACTACACGGCAGATTGCAACACAGAACTTTTTTCTTCTTCTTCTGCCCTTTTATCTCCCTATGGAGCATAGGCCATCAACTAACTCACGACAAGTTGTTCTATCCTTCGCTATTACATGAAGCTCTCCCCATGTCCTCCTTATCTTTATAACTTCATTCTCCAGCTCTCTTCTCCGTGTGTTTTTGGCCTTCCTTTATGTCTATGCCCCTGTGGGTTCCAATGCAAAGACAATTTAGTTATGCTGTTCTCCTGTTTTCTCAGTGTGTGTCCTATCCAACGCCAGCGTCTTTTCCTCACCTCTTGGTCCACTGTAGCCTGTTTAGTTCTCTCCCAAAGTTCTACATTAGTTATTCTGTCATACCATTTAATTCCCTCTATTCTGCGCAGGCACCAGTTAATGAATGTCTGTAATTTATTAGTATTAGCCTTAGCTGTTCTCCATGTTTCCGCCCCATGCAAAAGTACTGATTTGACATTAGAATTAAACATGTGTAATTTAGTATTTCTTTTAATTTCTTTTGACCTCCATAAATTCCATAGTGCTATGAAAGCTCCTCTTGCCTTTTGTATTCTTATTTTAATATCT